TTCCTTAATGATGTGAACTTTCCTGGAAATAGATATAAAGTCTCAGGGTCATTATGAGTAGTAGTAATACTTTTTTCTATATTTGTACAATACATGACAAAACACTTTTACATGGATTTTCACTTTTGGTCCTTGGACCAGGGCCCACAACAGCGCCTGCAATGTAGTAAATGCATAATATTTGTTGAAGAAATGAATAATAAACAAGCAAGAGGCTTTTAAAGAGTAACTGTAAACACAGAATGAAAGGAAAATGAAAGACACTTTTAGCTTTCAGATCTTCTGCTTCATTATCCGACCCCTGAGAAAACAATTAGGAAGGATTATAGGTATGTACATTGGGTTAGACGGCATTTAAATGCATTTTTGTTATTGTTATTGCTGCTGTTGTTTCCCCTCTTAGAAGGCAGAAGTCATTTTGGAGCAGAATTTCTTTGCTCTGGGAAGAATCCCTTGAGTGGACCTTATTAGTTATATAAGTGTAAGAAAGAAATAACATTGCTTTGAAGGAAAGATAGAATATTACCTTTTTCTTTGTTTTGACCTGACACTTACTGCCTCTTCCAATCACTCTATGTATTTAAAGCTCCTCCTTTGGGAGAAAGTAAACCAATTTGCTCCTAAACGGAAGAGAATTGAGCCCTCCAGTCTTTCTTTTTTGAGATGCACTGCATGTAGCCATTGATGAATAGATGTTTCCAGCCTAAGGCTGATGATGCTAAGGGAGGTATGGCAGGTCCTCAGGAGGGCGCTCACAGTGAAGGCAGAATGCAGCCTACTACACTGCTTACTTGGGGCTCAACATTCAGACTTAGCCTGTCTTGCAGGCAGAAGCCCCTGGAAACCCAGCCCCCTGGAATGGTGGAGGGAAGCTTTGGAAACTAGGTAAATTTAAACTAAACTAGTGTAACATTGGGAAGGAAAGCATAAAACACTAGTGAGCCCAGCAGTCTCGTACCTATCCATTGGAAACTGTGCTCCTTCTCACTCCAGTTAACTGAAGGCAAACCCCAGATCTGATGGAAATGCAGGCTGAGATTGCAGAGAAAATATCATTACATGTGCATGGCAGGAATCTTTCCAGCCAAGTGCTTGTCAGGGTGTTCAAGTGTAGAAAGTGGGATTTCACTTGAAAGGTGCAGGTTGTGGGGGAATCTTTGTGCCTTCTGGCTAATAAATGTACACTGTGTAGAAGAATTTACTGAAGACTACTCATACCATTCACACGTATGGATTTTGAGCATGTATATGAGAAGGCACATAGCTTCTCTTTCCCTGTAATTACTGGAGGGGACTCCTATTTCACAAAGCAACCTGTCAGTTGTTGGAGGAACAAATTGGCTCAGGTCAGTCTGCAACACAGATGTTACGGAAAAATTACGGAACTTCTTCAAAAGCTTATCTGTGTAGGTTACCACAGGTCAGTTACGAAAGGCACTATGCAGATGCATTAAGTCAGTGAATACAAGGAAAATATTTGGAACAGTGCCCAAGTACATAATAAGTTCTATAGATATTATATTAAATAATATAATAATCATAATTGTACTAAATAGCACGGAAGAAAAATATGAGTTGTGTTGGGAGCGTGTAATAGTGGAATGTAACCTGGCATGGGAATCAGGAACAGCTCTCCTCAAAAATTGAAGCTGTTGGATTAGTTTGCTAAAGAGATGTGGAAATAGCACCCCATGCTGCAGATTCTGGGGTGGGGCAGGTTAAGAGATGTCAGCCAGGGATTGCTGGATTACAAAAAGAAAAGCTTTGAGATATGGCTGGAGAGCCATGTTCAGGATTTTTGGCTTTATCCAAAGGGAAATGGCTAAAGAATGACCCTGGTTAACGTACATTTTAATGAACTATTATTTTTCGATAAAAATATAATTTGGTTCTAGTGGGGCAAAGTGTGTGTCTGTGTGTGTGTGTGTGTGTGAGTGCATGTGTATGTGTGTAGTGAGGGAGGGTAGAAAAGAGTGGATAGATGAGTCCAATCAGAGATCTGTTACTAACATATAGGCAGCAATAGATGGTAGCTTGAACCAATAAGGAGGCTGTAGGTTGGTGAGAAGTGAAGGGACTAGAGATAAATATCTAGAAAGAAAAATTCTAAATAGTTGTTCATTTGATGGAGGTTAGGGAGGAATGCATGTACAAAAAGAAAGAATGCCCTTAAATCATCCTTCCCTGGTCCTTTTTAAATGGAGATGAATACTAAAACTGAAAAAGGTATCAAGGAATATCGGGTATAAATTTCTCTTTAATTATATATATTAAAAAAAAACTATCTCAGATTAGTAAAGGGAGTTCTTCTTCTCCATGCGCCTGATTGTTTAGTGGCAGAACCTAGACTAGAACCAAAGTCAGCTGCTTTTTTCATGACATTTCCTTTACTGAATGGAGGTAGCATCTTCTCTTATATACTAATATTCACTTATGGCTACTAAATAATTTTCTAAATATACATGTAGAAGCACATTGAAGTGTTTTTCAACAGTAAAGTCTTAACATACTTTTTCTTTATATCACAAACATTTTTGGTTGGATGTGATCTTGCTTAACTAGAGTTTAGTCTAACTGATGTTATTTTCCAGCTTTGGGGAGAATCTGCAGCATTGCAGAAACTCAGATGTTACCACTAAAACTTTAGTATTTCCATCCTGCTACTCTGAATAAATGCCAAGAACTTTTCTTTAGAATTCTTTTTCAGATAATTCAGGCTCAAAACAATCTACTATAAGTTTAATCAAGGGAAACCAAGGGAGAAATGAAATAAATGTTGCTATTCAAATGGCAGCATTTAGATAAAGGACTGCAAAAACATGGACATTTAATTTTATTGAAATTTAAATGAGTTTACTACTCATTGGATATAAGGTCTGTTAATTAAGGCAGGAGTGCCTTGTAAATCCTGGATGAATGCATATTTGCCACATACAGTTGTAGCTGACAACAGTCCTTTGTACAAAATGAAGAATAAATCTAAACCAATTAAGATACTGTATATATAATTATGAATATTATAAATAAAATGAGATGACTGTGGCTTGTGCATTTTAACATGTGTTAGAATGATACTTCATTCATTCTTGGTAACTTTTTGCTGATTATCCCATTCTTATGGAAAACTTGCTACTAACTAGCCATCTTTCAGACAGGTTGATAAAGCCCCCAATAAAGAGATATTATATAACATTGGATGTAAATCTGATCCCTGCTTACAGTCAAGGAGGATGATCAATGCAGTAGTAGTAGTGAGGGGGGCTTTTGAGATAATAAGATGAAGGTACAATTTTTATATCAGTGAACTCACAATCTTGTGATGGGGGGAGACAGACACAGAAATGAATGGCAACTGCTGTTATAACTTAAAAGTACATGGCTGGGCGCAGTGGCTCCTGCCGATAATCCCAGCACTTTGGGAGGTCGAGGCAGGTAGATCACTTGAGGTCAGGAGTTCAAGAGGAGCCTGACCAACATGGTAAAATTCTGTCTCTACTAAAAATACAAAAATTACCCAGGTGTGGTGGTGTGTGCCTGTAGGCCCAGCTACTTGGGAGGCTGAGGCAGGAGAATCGCTTGAACTTGGAGGCAGAGGTTGTAGTGAGCTGAGGTCCTGTCACTGTTCTCCAGCCTGGATGACAGAGCAAGACTGTGTCTCAAAACAAGCAACTCCCCCCAAAAAAACAAAACAAAGCAAACAAAACCAGAAACGAGTACAGATAGCACAAAGGAGATTGCTAATGTGGGGAGTTTGGGGGATTCTAATTCTAATGTGGGGAGTTTGGGGGATTCTAATTCTAATGTGGGGAGCTTGGG